TTAATCTTTATATAGAAAATTCATATTTCCCACAACTCTGGAAAAAAGCTAAAATTGTTCCTCTTCCAAAGGTTCAAAATGCCTCCTTCTATTCACAAAATTCGATCTATATCGATACTTCCAATTCTATCCTTGTCACTTGCTCGCAAACAACAACTTCAAAATAAAATAACTACACGATGGCAAGAAATAAGCCAGATGTATTTCAAACTATAAGTTGAAGCAATCGTACAAGGCCATGGAAAAACGTCAAGAAGAAATATCGTTAGCATTGAACGATAGCACTAGCACTAACACCGCAATAGTGTCGACGAAAACATGCAACATTGCACTGCCACAAATTAAACTGCCTTTCTTTGATGGTCGGTATGATGAGTGGACCACATTTCGTGACATATTTTCAAAAATTGTTCACGATAATGATACTTTAACCGACATTGAAAAGATGCAGTATCTAAACTCACACGTCATACAACAAGTTAGAGTATCCTTGATAATGTTACACAAACGAACAAACTGATGGACAGAATAATAGATATTCCAAGTAGTATCTAGCACGAATCAGCATTCAAACTTAAACAATTGCACGATACAATTTTCGAATGGCTAGAAACTCCGAACAACCTAAACATAGACACGTTCTCCTGGGGTCCAATGATAAGCAGAATCATAGCTAGGATATGAGATGTTGAGACTAACAGGTTGTATGACCAATCATTAAGCGCACTACATGAAATACAGCCTATTGATGAGTCGATGAAATTCATCCACGAACGGTTCCACTCATTAGAAACGTCGAATGATGCAATCAAAAAGGAAACCTCTAGAGATAATAACTCGACATGCTCATACTGCAAACAACCACACAAGCTTCATTTATGCCCAAAACTTCAAGCTTTGACAGTCCCTGCAAGACTGAGAGCAGTTAAAGAAGGAAAGTTGTGCCCAAACTGTCTAAAACATGACGCCAAAAGTCGCTGTCTCTCCACAGAGCGATGTCGCAAGTGCTGAAAATTCCATCATACCCTATTGCACGCAGAATCTGGATATCGGCAAGATCAGCGACATCAAAACAGAGATACCCAGAACTCTCGTCATAGTAACTCTGCAAATCATTGCCAAAGACAAGACGAGATGGTATTGTTAGCCACCGCAATGGTCCGGGTAGCAGACATATATGGAAGAGATCAACACATACGTGTACTAGTAGATCCTGGTTCTCAACCTCCATAACTGAGGGAGCTGCCACAGTCTTAGCAATTTTGAGACAACGCATTCAGGCTGATATAACTGGGGTAGGAGGAGGTGAGCCTCTCACGGCCAAGTGGCAAATAAAAGCAACAATTAGGCCTCGTTTTGCAAGTAATTTTATACTCCAAGTGTCATGTATAGTATTACCAAGGTTAACAAGATCACTGCCTGCAAAACAATTCAACGTAGAATTTAATCAATGGGAAAATGTTATTCTAGTATATCCGACATTTTCTAAGCTAGGACCAATAGATATTATCTTCGGAGTTAAAGAATATGGAGACATAATTCTGGAAGGTATTAAGAAGACGAAAAATAGACTACTTGCACAAAATACAGAATTAAGTTGGATCGTCTCTGGAACCATGACTACGCGCGCAGATTCCAGACCGCAGGGGCATACCATGACAACGCCAATTAAAGAAGACAAGCAACTCACTAGGTTCTGGGAAATAGAGAAGGTAACACAGCGAAGACACTTGAATAAAGATAATCAATATTGTAAGGAACATTATGAAGAAAATTCTATAAGAAACCCTGACGGCACATACACTGTTCGGCTACCATTTCCGCAAAAAATTGCAGACCTAGGACTATCAAAACAATGGGCTGCAGCGAGATTACTGCAGCTTGAAAAACGATTAGCAAGAGATAGAGAACTAAATGTAAGCTATAAGGCTATATGAGAGAATATAAAGAGTTAGACCATATGAGCTTGGTACCGGCGTCAGAAGCAGCTGCTAAATATTATATTCCTCGTCAAACAGTGATAAAAGAATCAAGCACTACAACCAAACTAAGAGTGGTGTTTGACACTTCTTCTAAAACATCAACTGGTATAAGTCTGAACAACACTATGCTAACTGGACCAAGACTTCAACAGGAACTCTCAGACATCCTACTACGCTGGAGATGTCACAGAAAAGCAATTTCCAGTGATGTAGAAAAAATGTATTGTTAGATTAAGGTACATCCAGAAGACCAATCATTCCTGACAATTTTATGGAGATATAATACGAGGGAACCAATACAGGAATACTGATTAAAAACACTCACCTACGGAACCACTACAGCTCTATATTTAGCCATAAAAACAACGTTTAACAAAAAAAGAGGAATCAAGGTTCTCGACGGCATCCATGATTACCAGACTTGATTTCTATTTCGAAGACCTATTGTTAGGGGCCGATACCATTAAGGACGCAATACAGCTCCAAACTCAGCTCACTGAATTGTTTCTGGAGGATTCGTCCTTAAAAAATGGTCAACAAATAGAATGGAAGTTTTCAGTCGATCCCAGAAAATAATGAGAGATCAGAGTATGATGGAAATAACTGAGAATCAGACAAAAAAGTCACTTGGCATTCATTGGACACCTCGTGACGATAGGTTCCATTTTATGGTAGATATATCAGCAATCACAAAGATAACAAAGGGAAGGATTCTATCCGAAGTATCGAGGCTATTGGATCCACTTGGGTGGATTGCCCCGGTAACCATAAAGGCGAAGCTTCTAATACAAGATCTATGGCTACAAAAGTTAGGTTGGGATGATGAGCTACCGGAAAATATTCAGTGGAAGACATTCCAAGAAGAATTGAAAAACGTAGACAAAATCCTGATACCACGATGGACTAGCCAACTTCCTGGGAGCCACTTTGAACTACATAGATTCTGTGATGCATCTGAAAAAGCATATGGCGCAGTGGCAACCAAAACAGAAGATGTTAAAATTACGCTATAACTACCAAATCAAAAGTAGCCCCGGCAAAGATGCGAGTCACTCTTCCAAGACTAGAGCTTTGTTCAGCACTGCTACTAGCAAAGCTATTGAGAAGAACAATCGAGATTCTATCCTCTGATAAAACGAATATTCATGCGCAGACTCCATGATTGCCTTAGCATGGATAAAGGGCAGTACGAAAAAATGGGAAATCTTTGTAGCTAACAGAGTAGCTCAAATTAATGATCTTATAGCAGAAGACTGCCGGAGGCATGTCAGATCTGAACACAACCCAGCAGATATCCTCTCAAGAGGGATGGAACCGTCTAAACTAATAAGTCAAATGATGTGGTGGGAAGGTCCATCATGGCTAAAGTCAAATATGACCGAGCAGGCAGAAAGCGAAACAACAATCGATCCAATACCCGAAAAAATCAACGCATGTCACATAGTTTCCAATAGATGCCAAACAGATGACGAAATAATTAGAAGATTCTTCACACTAAATAAACTAATTAGGTAAATTTCGTTTTGCAAGCCTTTTATCCAATACTGCAAAACGAAGGTGAAGAAAACCGAACGTCTATCGGTAAAGGAATTGCAAGATGCACTAAAAGCTATTGTCAAGATCGAACAGCAAATATATTTCCCCAATGAAATCCAAGCACTACAAGAAAAGTCACCTTCAAGTAAAAACAGCAAAATCTTAAACTTGAATTCATTCCTAGACGGTAAAGGAGTTTTGCGTGTCGGAGGAAGACTTGAGAAATCGCAGTTGCCATGTGAGACGAAACATCCCATAATTTTAGCTTACAAGATTAATCATTCTAAATGCTCATTACAACACTCTTCATGGAGCAAATCAGTTAATATTAGCTAACACGCGGAAACAGTTTTGGATCATTAATGGGAAACGAGCAGTAAAAACTATTAGTACCTAGATGTGTAAAATGCATCCGCTATAGAGCTCAAACAGCGGAACAACTGATGGGAAATCTCCCAGCAGCCAGAGTCTCTCCATCATACCCATTCCTACATACAGGGGTAGATTACGCCGGTCCAATACAAATTAAAACAACCAAAGGAAGAGGCTCCAAATTATACAAAGGGTATGTTGCAATATTCGTGCGCCTTGCCACTAAAGCTATACATATTGAAGTTGTGAGCGATATGTCAGCAGACACATTCCTAGCTGCATTCCGACGTTTCACCGCAAGAAGAGGCTGCTGCGCGCACATATATAGCGATAATGGTACAAACTTCGTCGGAGCAAGCAAAATATTTTTATACCAACGCTGCCAAAATAATAACCACCCTCAACGACCTCAACAGAGGAATTCCATGGATAATGGCATTCCATTACAAGCGCTGCATCTGTACCATGACCCGTCAATCAATATACCTAATCCAAGTCACGATTTTCCTATGCGATGGAATCTGTTGAATTAGCAGCATCGGCAGTACATAACCAGGCTAGTCGTTAGCCTCCAGCAAATTCCCAAAAAAAGGACTTTTATGTCTAATTATATTATTGATTAGACAGCAAAATCGAACTTATTCAATTACTATTTTTGTGATAAGCTGTTGGCTTTCGTAAACTGTGTCCTTCCTCCAAATTTGATCAACAGAAGCTTGTTTCGAGAAGAATTGCATACTTTTTCAAAAAAATTCTTCGCAGTTGATGTATAACATCACTCAATTATAAAGGATCAAAATCCAGCCAAGCATTATATAGGAAAGACATACGTATAGGTTGTAGGTATTGCCTATCTGACTTATTTTAGGTAATGATCCATAAATCATAAGCAAAATCAATTCTTTTATCAGCAATTCATATTTGCCATTCATGAACAGTTGTTCCTCGAAACCATTTTTCTTAATTTTAAATCTAAATCATTATAATTTGGTAGGCTGACATTATACGACAAATAGATTTATTTCTAAAAGAAAATTCTTTCGTTTCCAGGTCATCTTATAATGGCAGTTTTCGCCAACCGAATCAAAACGCACTAGAATATTCAGGACCATGGTTATGTGCAACACAATGGACACCGCAGTGATACCCAGACCACCAGCCTTACCGTTGGGCCCCATAGTTCCTAATTATCCTTTGAAAAGCACTGCAAGAAAAGGTATATCTATACTACTGGAATTTTTGTTTTTAATTCAAGAATCTTATATTATATATAATTAACCAACGCCAAAAAATCCCAATCCAAAAACAAAATTGGCGCTTACCCTTGAAAATATTACCTATTTAGAAAATTGTTTGCAGGTCCCTCGTTACCTCCACCACCGCCACCTCCAAAGCCACCAAGTCAACTAGAAGAAGTAACAGGAAATAACAATAAAGAAGCTTCCAAAACTGGTGAAAATGGAGAAAAAAAAGTAAGAATAATAACTAAGATAATCACCTATTAATACCATTTAACAGTAAAATATTATCAAGTGATAGCTAAAAAGATATGTTCTAAATGAACAAGTTCCACCTTGAATAAATGTAAAAGTAGTTGAGTATTTGGCACAAAATTTATTTTGCATATGATTGAGCCAAGTTAGACTAAAATTTGATGAATTTATTCAAGTACAAAAATATGGCCTAGAACTGATTTGATTTAATGCCCTTTTATGACAACATTTTATTACATCTAAATATGGAAACATTCTAAATAAATTAAATTTGCCTGCTTCATTTAGCCATTTTTATTCCTCCAAAGGATGTTGAACCAATTCTTCAATTTCGTTTATTTTCAGATGCACAAAGATAAGAAGTACATCGAAGAAAGGCGAATTATACAAAAAATGGTCGAGAAAAACATAGCAAAAAACGAAAGCGTAAGAAGTAAGATGAGCGCGAGAAGTGCGATGTCACAAAGATCAAATGGATTTAGACTGATAGATAATGATACAAACGGTAAATATACAAATTATGATATGTATCAAAACCTACTTGACTTTTGAACATTTTGCATTATTATTGTTACTAGTTTACATTATTAAAGCACAAACACAGTGATATGGTCAAATGAGAATTATGTTGTTCTAATCTAGGTAATCACAACAAGCAAAATCCTAACCAAGACGAAACAAGTTCGGTCTACAGCATCTACAAGCAAAAAATCGACAGCATGTTCGAATCAGATTCAAGCACAAGTACAAATCACAACAGCGTCCAAGCGAAAATTGAAAAAATGTTCACCGACGTCGCTGCCGATAGTGGCATACCTGCCAGCCAACTCAATATGCACGCATTTTCTGTGGATTATTTGGGTAGCGTCCCTTTGCAAGACAAAGTCACTAGTTTGGCAGGTTTACAACAGCCTTTGAGGGACCTATATTTTGCCTATAAAAAGATGACGAAAAGTAAAAAGACGCTATCTGGAAGACTGGAAATATCCAATCAAGGGCTTCGAGTCCAATACCAAGGCACTTCAGGGGACTTGGAACAAATGAACTCATTTCCTACAATAGCTGTCTGGTCAGCAGTGAAATTTGTTATCCAGGAAACCAGCTCTATGCTGCACGGTAATGAGAAGTCTTATGCCTTTTTACCATTGATAACTGATCCAGATAATACGGAGAAGCAAACATTGTTCAGAACTTTCCATGAAAGCGAGGTAAAATACATTACTGCCAATGAACAACACTCTCCGTTATTTGCAGTTGTTATGAGGAAGATTGGTGTACAAAAGCAGTTGGAATGCCATGGGTAAGAATTAATAGATACTTGCTAAAAGGTTTCTCTCATTAAGAATTTTCAAATAAGGTTTGTCTGTCAAACGTCAGAAGATGCCATAGTAATAGCCGCAACTCTATACAAATCCCTCGTGAATCACATGAAGCACAAAGAGAAAAAGCCGAAAAATAAAAATGGCGTAACGTGTATATCCACAGCATCGAGCACTATGATGGGGGATAAAAATTCAATGCCGGTTAGACCTCCGAGAAGGAAAAGAAGTAGTGCGGCATCATCTATTTGTAGTGATAGTAATTCTATTACAAATATTAGTGATACTCAGCCACTACTAACTTCGAAACCTTTGAAAAAAAGTACAAAATCTAAACGAGCACCGAAGGCTCCTAGTGATTCAAAAGAAGATGATTTAGATGCCATAGTGCCTTATGAGGAACCTATAAGAATGACTTCTAGTGATGAAGCATTGGATACTAGGGATGGTCAGGAGGAATGTCAAGAAAGTAAACCTAAAAGTTTTAGTGGTAAGTTGTTAGAGGGCAAATGTATTAATTCTCAGTAGGTACTCAAATATTGGTGATCAAATGAGCATCGATGATAATATGGTTGGTTGGTTGTAGGGGGGATCCAGGCCCTGTGGCTTTCCATGCACTGCAGCCTGTTGACTTATTGAGCACCCCAATTTCTTTCTTGCCCTACAGAAGTCCTGTTTCCTGTACCAGACGTGATAGCCTGTTAGAAATAACACCAGTTATTTGTACTTTAAGATAAGAGAACCTATTGGGTCGTGAAATTTAAAAAATTAAGATAACATGTAGCCCCTTTATGTGCAAATGAAACCACTCAAAATCCAACAAACAATAATTTTATTTTGTTTACAATGCAATCTAGTAACAGTCAATGTTACTTTTTCTGTAAAATTTGACAGTTGACAGCTTGGTTGTTCTGGTGAATCTGACCCATGTACCTTTCCAATCAATTTTGTTGGGGTTTCACTTTCGTGAACTGGAGCTCTTCGTGTTGTTTCCTGTATCTAGGAAAGAGGATAGATTGCTGGGGTGACGTCACTCCAGCTGATCCAGACTCCAAACAGTGATCTTTTATGTCCAGTAGGTACCCAGAAAAGAATAAGGCAGTATCAGGTTCACTCAGATTTGGAATATTGAATCCCTGAATTCTGTCAAAAAGCGAGTGTCTTGCGAAGAAGATTTAAATTGAAATTAGTTTATTATAAAACTATTGTTGCGCAGAAACTCCTTTCCAACAGAATCAGGTATGAGCAAATTGAAAAAAAAATAAATATATTTTAATAGCAATAATAGCAATCATAAGATAATAGTAAAATGAGTAATAACAACAAGATTAAATTAAAATGCTCGTTACAAATAAAGGAGGGTGCTGCTTTTCTGGCAGCAGTAGCAATAGACCGGCGAGAATAAAAACAAATGCAGGAAAAATTGAATCAGATAAAAAAAAAATATTAAAAATTGAATCTCTAGATTCTCCCCCAAATAGACAAAATTTTCCTTTTAAGTTAAGGTAGCTACTATAGGTACTACAAGATAAACCTGAGGGTGAAATCAATCAAATCCAGAATATGTCAAAATTTTTGAGATGTTTTAATTAAAACTTTTTAAGGCCGCGTTAATGGCCGCCATGTTTAAACTGTGATTGGTTGATTTTTTGGAACTTTTTTTAAGGTCTTTAAAAAAACGGCCATCAGAATTGGCTCAAATTTGGCATAGACATTATTTGACCGATTATCTACAATTCCTTATTTTGGTTTTTCGATATTCAGCCTTTTTTTTCAATTCAAAAATCATGTTCGCAACCACCAAAACAATTTATTGTGTTGGTGGTTGCATATTTGCATGTTTATCAAGCTTGGATCCGTGAAAAGCATATTTTATTGATAACCACGAAAAACTTAAAAAAGCCAATTGTAGAGATTGTAGATAATATATCAAATAATGTTTATGCCAAAGGATTTTGGAAATTATTGCGGATTTTTTGAGATGACCTTAAAACGAATTTTGAAGGTGAAAACAGTTCAAGCAATTTCAAGTAGATGGAGCCACGGCAAAAAAGCTACATTGGGAGAATCATAATTGTATATTTGCCTTTCTCTGTCACTAAGTGTTTCACCGAGAAACAGATTTTGTTTTGGACAAATAATAAAATATTGAACCCTATGTGTAGAGTGATGCATAGTTGTCATATTCAAAAACTAAATTTAAACATGGCGGCCATTAACGCGGCCTTAAATGAATTTTTTGTCCTGTCTCGATTTCTATTTTAAAAAATTACACCCTTTTTCAACACTCTTCTCCTCGAGAAGATAATAATCGAGATAATAACTGACGGAGTCCAACAGAAAATGTCTATATAGGCCGTTGTCTGGATTCAATAAAGAGTTGATAGGGATGGACACACAAATTTAGTTTCCACCTACTCTATTTAGAGCAAATGTTCCAATAATCTCACACTAACAATTGACTCTGAAAACCAGAGCAGCAGTACCTATTCATTAGCCCAAAAATCTGAATTGACTTGCCTCAGAAAAACGTGGAACCACCAATCGCAATCACACAAAATGGAGTATCACAATTAGATAAAAAATTAAAATATAATATTTTTATTTCAAAAAGTAGATAAGATAAGATTTATCAGGTAAAAACTCAACAGTGATGGTAGTATGCACTGCCAAAATAAATTGAAAAATTATAAGGGAGAATCTAAAAATGTGATGGAGAAATTATAAAATTGAAATGACTTGCCTGCTAGAGCACTGCCAGAGAAAGAGACCCTTTTAGAAACTAAACCCTATAGGAAACCAATCTTGTGTTTTTAATACTCAACTGCCTATCAACCAGATCAACCAATCAGAAAACTACACACAAAAGATCGTATTCAGTTCACAATGAAATTCCACGTGGATTAAAAGAGAATAAATAAAAATTGACTAGAATTACTTCAAATGTTTACAAACTACAATAATTTAAATTAAGGTTTAAAGTCAGGCCTATAGTTTATCACAGCAACGCGAGATGTCAATGCTGTCGCCCCTATAGTGTGCCCTAACTTGACTGTCAAAAAAAAATAGAAATCTTCATTTGGTTAAATTGTGTAATGGAACGTTTTTTCTTTTTTTGGCGGAAATTCGAAGTATTATTCTGTTTTACAAAAACAGGGTTGTAGTTTCGACCAACGCAAATAATTTTGAACGTTCATCCGTCGGATTTTTTTCTAAACGGTGTAGCTACGGGCGTATTTCCAACTATTTTTGTAGTAGCGAGAAAACTACAAGTTCAAAAAATTTGAAAAAAATATATGTCGCGTAGAATTGCAATAGTAGTTCGTAACAAAAGTAATGGGGAACTTCATCTATTTGTTTTGAAATAAATGGTGAAAAACTACTTTTTTTTTCAGTTTTTGCGGTATAACTCAAAAATGGCGAGTCAAATTTGCTTCAAAAAATTATGGATTAAAGTGTATCGATAACCATAAAACATATATTTTTTTTGGAATTTTTGAACACAAGGTTCAGAAAATAGGGGTTGACTTTAAACCTTAAGGCTATGATGAAAACAAAAAACCGCTAATTAATTAGGTCATTAGGCCAAAAATAATCGTTTCAGTATCATCTAGAGAAAGACAGAAATATATCCATTTGCTGAAAGTGAGAAATATAATTTCTTTCAATGGAAATACAAATGACTATCAAATGCGAAATAATTGAAATCATACTTTGAAAAATAAATCTATCAGGTACTAGATGACAGTACCTTCATTTAATAATAGATATTTGCATTTTATTTACATGATGGATAGATGACAGTACTGATATTATATTGAACTTTGTGGATATTTTTAGATTACTTAAATTATGAATTATTATTTTGCTGATTCTGAAATAGCAAAAATACAACTTTATAATGAAAATAAGAAGACGTGGAACACGTTACGTAAATGATAAATTTATCGTAACAAGCCCTTGGACAAGATTTTCAGGCGGTATTCTATTCCCGGTCTGTATTGCACCGAAAAGTCCATATCTTTTGTGTGATAGGGCCACACAGTCTTACATGATGTGGGAAGCTGCTTTGCCTTTCTCTCCACATAGTCTGCATTAAGTGCATCCCCCTCCTATGCTGATGTTTCCTCAAGTGACAGTGTCCTGTCAATGGACCTTTCTCATTTTACCTGTGCTGCGCGCGCAGCTTATGGGTGACAGATAAAAAATTTATGATTATCGTAACCAAGGTATTATATGGTTATAATAGTTCAATAGGAAATAAACAATTTTACATTGTATTGCCAACATAATGTCATTTTGACTTTTATCTATAAAAAAAATGCACTTTACAAAAACTGTTTATTATACAATGGTTCAAATGTGTTGTGTGAGATCTTGTCAGAGTAAGATGAAAAAGAAGTCAAACCTTTCTTTTCACAGGTTCCCAAGCAATCAAATTTTAAGAAAACAATGGTTACATGCTCCAGCCTGACTGAAGACGATTTAAGTTGGAACAGAGATTTGAGGGATCGCATAATAACAATTTCTATATCAAATACAATAATAATTGAACAATTAAAGGTTTGCTAGCACTTGCAAATTCGTACTTCTCAAACTTCTCTAAACTTTTCCCCCACATATTTGTCATTTTTTATATTTAAAAATAAACAAAAACAGAAACATAACCGAAATTGCACAATTTGACAAGTGGAACCAATCAAAGTCATTCCACACAGGGATCGCAAGTCATTAAATGTGTCTCTTTCTTTATTGCAGAAATCTTAATAAACTATCCTTGTTGTTCATTGCATGAGAAAGGTCCACACATCTATCATGCATTCTTCTGATCCGACTCGGATCGTACAATCAGGGTCCTTATTCTTGGAACAGGGGAGCAGCGTTCCCAGGAGAACGAGTATTCCGTCTTCGTTACTCATATTATCAGTTGCATATAATTGAGAAAGACGGAACACTCAATCTCCTGGGAACGCTACTCCCTGTTCCAAGAATAAGTACCCTGATTGTATGATCGGAGTCGGATCGGAAGGATGCATGATAGATGTGTCCCGGCCTTGAGTCATAGCACGTCAGTTGTTAGATTTTGTCCAGACGTGTTCTATTCCAATTGACCAAATGACCTATGAATGACGGTAAAAGCTCCAGCTCCCGCCAACGCATCTGCTTTTTCGTTGCCCTATCTCTGAGTGGGTAGGATCCCATACGAGTCGAACTTTGTTTTACTTGGCAAACTGCTTCAGGTCAGTGAGGCACTCTATCGTCATTCGAGAAGTGATGCGATAGGAATCCAGCGCTTTTAGTGCTGCTTGTCTATCCATGAAAATAGCTACCTACATTCTGGTTTTTACAGCCTATTTATATTTCAAAGGTAGATAAGATAAGATATCAGGTGATAAAAACCCAACAGTGATAGTAGATACTGATGGTGAGATAAATTATAATATTAAGGGAAAATTTAGAAATCTGAAGGATAAAAAAATACAAGAATGAAAATCGACTTGACTGTTTAACGGTCTGCCAGAGAAGAGAGCTTTTTAGAACCCAATTCCCTTGAAGAAAACCAGTCTCGTGTTTTTTTTATACTTAACTATGTAGCAACCATTGAACCGATCAGAATATATCAGTCAAACACACACAGAAGATACCGTGTTCACTTCATTAATGAAACACCTCGCTGATTAAAATTCGGCCCTAAGTCTCATGACCGTTGTTTTTTGCTCATTCTTTGGCCACCATACGGCGGCCCCGCGTATGTTATCATGGGTCTGATAACTGTGATGTATAGCCAGTACACCATCTTTGGTTTTAGGCCCCAAGCTTTACCAAACATGTGCCTGCATCACATGAGTCAATTTGGCGTCTAGGATTGGGCCCAAATGTTTCACTTCATTAGCAGCTTTTATACTTTCACCGAAGATCTTCAGCTAATCGCTTTTTGGTGAATGGTAGAATCGCTGTTTTCTCGGCGCTTATTGTGAGGTTGATCTCTACACACCATCTATCTGCTGTCTGGCTGGGCTTTCCTATACACCTGGTGTCTCTCCCCTGCACTACTATAACTATGGCCACATCGTTAGCATACCCTTGGGCGTGCAACTTTTCCAAATTGAGATGCTGTAGTCAGTCATCAACCACCAAATTCCATAGGAGGGGGTGATAATACTTCCCCCTGTGAATAACCTCGAGTTGCAGATACTTTCAAGGTCTTTCTGTATAGAGTGGTTCGAATATGTCGGCTTTGGAGCATGATGATAATATAGTAGATGTTCAGTTAGTCTAGTGATGGAAATATTTTTAAAAAGCTTCAAAGATCATTTGAAATGAGACATCTTGATTCCTACACCTAATAATTCTATTAACAGATAAAATTAGCACCTTCATGAGTAAAGAACAAAAACAACTAACAGAAGAAATAAAGCAAGTAATGAATGATTCTAATAAAGGCCTTAAAAGAGTGCAAAGCTTACGAAAAATAAATGACGAAGCGATAAGAAAAAAGGAAAATTGTGGTGATATTTTCACTAAAGTTACTATTCCAAGAAGTGGAAGCTTCTTAAATACTGGAGGATTAACTAGGTACAAAAATAAAGGATCCAGGTACTAACTTAAAAGAAGTTTTTTATAATATTACATTTTTTTTTCTTCTAGGAACAATGAATCTGCTAGTGGTGGTTCTCCGTTAGGTTTCAAAGAGATTTTCCATGAATTATCGATGCAAGAAAATTTACACTCTATGGATGAAATTTTATCAGTAATAATTGATCCAGATGGAATGTCTTTTAATGATCTTAAACCCATTTACAAAGAATTTCTGCTCAAATTAGCACTCACGTTAACTAAGGATGAGTTGTACATGAAAAGTAAGAGTATTATGAGGAGACATAAAAAGAAAACCGTGAAAAGGTAAGAGTTTTTATTGCTACTAAAATTTCATCTTTTCTAACTCTTCTAGGCCTTTTTTCCAAATTTTGCTCTGTCTTTATTATCAAAATTCTTTCTTTGTTCAACTTAATCTTTTCTACTTTTATATCTTATTTCTTCTGTCCCATCAAAAATAATTTAAAATTCAAAAAAATTATCCACTTTTTGCACCAAATTGTTTTAGATCTTTAAGCGCTAAACGAAACCCCAATATTTCCGTATCTGGAAAATTCAAAAGACTGAAGCACATTTTTCAAAAAACTTTAAGGCCTAGTTCGTCGAAAAAATTATTGGAAGATGCCAATAAACAAAATGCTGAAATTATTTCTAGCGATTCGAGGGTCGACTCCAAATTACCTGAAAGTAGTATTAGTACTTCTTCATATGATACAAGACCGTTCAGAACTAAGGATGAATTGGTTGGTAAGAAGACGAGTTATAAAAAGAAGACACATGGTAATATTAATATTTATTGCAACTATATATTGAATAATGTTATATTTTAGGTGAATTTAATAAACATCGAAGAAGAGATAGGACAAGCACCAGTGAGGAATCAGACTTTTTCTCATTGAAACGTCAAAACAAATACAGCAAATCAACAAATAACTTGTTAGCTTTAAACCAGAATAGAAATTCATCATCAGGTTAGTTTTAATTTTTCTAAAATAACATATTGAAAAAAAAAACAAATTTCAGGCTATGTCTCTTGTTCTGAATGTTCATACGATTCTGACACTTGTACCTGTGTTTCCGCAGACAAATGCTATTGTAGCTTAGGCCACAGGAATTTTGAAACTCATCGGAAAAATAATAGTTCTCGTAAGTCTCATAGGCCCTTAAAAATGAATAATTTCTATTCAACAATAATTTTAGAAGAAAACAGATGTGTCATTTGTGCAGACGATCCCAGCTTAACTTACTGCGGATGCGATACTGATTCTTGTGCAGAATCAAATAAATGCTACTGCCAATATGGTAGCCAAAAGAAAACTAGGAGCAAGTCACATTCGCATTATAGAAACTGCAATAAATTATCCAAGGGTGAGAGACACGAGCATAGGAAATTGTGTAAGAGTACTTCGAATACTAAAAGTACGAAAAGTTTGGAGTACATGCCGAATCCTAGTGATGGTAAGACTTAAATAAGCTTCCTATGCTTTATTTAGTTATACAGGATTAGGAGAAAAAGATCACCGCCGTGGATGCGTTATCTGATTGTTGTGTTGAATCTTTTATACCACACACGCCTGTTTTTGTTGATTAAAAAAAAATGCTTACGTGAACCATGGCTTGGATGAAACCAAAGAGTGAAAACTCTTTGGTCGTTTTTCTGGATTATTTCATCTCATTGAACATACTAATTAGGACGATTATATGTAGCGGGAGATAGGGCAAGGCAGATAGTGAAACTCCATTTCAATTTCCCACTGCCATCCCAAGAACTGAATTCAATAATGTCCTTAATTATTTTAACAGCTATCATGAGAAAATACAATTTACACTGGAGTCTGAAAGTAATGGCAACATTCCGTTCCTTGATCTTATGGTGCATAGAACCAAAACTGGTACAATATTGACTTATTGGTACATGAAACCTACCCGCTCTGGTCGACTTCTGAATTACTATTCATGCCATTCTTCTACTCAAAAGGTACCGACTATTTTTAATAGTGCTCTTTAGATCTCTAAACTTATCTGATGAATCATTTCATCAGAGTAACCTTATAAAGATCAAGGAACTGTTAGAAGATAATAATTATCCGACCAATTTCGTCAATAGGACGATCACTAGGTTTAAACATAAAAGGATTATGGAGTGTAATAATTATAATAATAGTGACGTACGTAACAACAAGAGATATTTCAAATTTCTGTTTATACCTGGTTTATCTAATAAAATTCAAACCTGCCTCAACAAAGAGAAGTGCTGTTTAGCTTTTTACAATAAGAAGACAGTTAATCAACTGTTCACAAAGTTAAAGGACAAACTTCCTGTTGATTACGAATCTAATGTCATCTATGGTATCCCATGTAAGGATTGTGATAACAAGTTTTACATAGGTCAAACCAGACAATTGCTTAGGGAATTACTGAAACAACACAGATATGATTGTGATAGACCTAATAGAACGGACTTAACAGCCCTTAGTCTTCATCATCACACTAGCAGCCATGAGTTTGACTTCTCTCATCCAACAATTTTCGATATGGAGTCTAATTTCATAAAGAGGAATATCAGTGAAATGATCCATATCAATGTTAATGACTCAGCATTTTGAATAAATACAAAGATAGTGTTAAATAAGTGATAGGGATGTTAAATGTATGAGACAACAATGTCTCTCTATATCGGTTCTGACCTTCAGTACAGATTATTGATTTATACAGTTGACATCCTATGTTTGGTATATTGACTTTGTTTGTAATGTTATCAATCATAGGTGTCCCATATTCAATAACACATTCGGATATTCGTCCTTTTGAATGTAACACGTACAAAGCAAAATTTAAACTAAAATGCAATTTGAAGGGTGGTTTAAGAAAACATTTAATGATACACTCGGATATTTTTCTTTATGAATGTGACACTTGCAAAGCAAAATTTAAACATAGAAATAGTTTCGAAAGTCACATATCAACACACTCGCATATTTATCCTTTTGAATATAAAGCTTAATTCTCACTTGCGTGAAATTCGCTTCCTTTGCGCGAAATTGGCTCTTTTTTTGACATTGGTTCGACAATTTGATGTTTTATGCGTGTATCAAACGTCAAATTCTTGAAACAATGTTAAAAAAGAGCGAATTTTGCGCAACTGAGAATTAAGCTTTAGACTTGCAAAGCGAAATTTAAGCGTAAAAGTAATTTAAAGAGTCATATATTAACACATTCGAATAATTATTCTTTTGAATGTGACACTTGCAAAGCAAAATTTAAAACAAAAGGCAATTTGAAAGATCACTTATCAACACACTCGGATGAGAAGAATTTTAAATACAACATATGCGAGTCTTAATTGAAAACCAAACCAACCAACAAATCAGCAAATTCTTTCACTAATGTATTTTATGTTCTATAATGGCTGCTTTAACATCCCTGTAACTCTTTAAGATTGGTAAGTGAGAAAGAATATTATATTAATTAAAATCGTGGTTCTTGATAATAATTGATATGGTTTAAAAATCGCATACCATTGTGTTCGAATAAATTAACAACGCATAGACACCTATTGCTTCGGTTCTTATGTATAATTGACGTTGCCCTTGATTCGATGATTTTTTATTGTATTTTTATTTTATTTCTATTTATATTTTTGTTGTGTAATTTCATTTAACTTATTTAATGTTTTTATCGATGTGTTTTTTCTCCATTTACAGACCCTTGATAAAGTTGTAATAAACAACGGAACATTGGGAAATTGAATTGGAGTTTCACTACCTGCCTTGCCCTATCTCCCACCACACATAATCATCATTAATATATCAGGGCGCTTAAGCATCGATTACTAATTAGGATTTGAAATATTATCCTCTGTCAGAATTCATTTCTGATTATTGCTGATTGATTAATAGCCTTACTCTCAAAAGTTTTCCGTTTGTGTTTCATGGGCCTTCTTCTCATTGAGATTAGGCTGCGATGAGCCATTTATAGCCACACGGTCGTCACATTCAATCTGCTTTCTAGGTTTCAAAGCAGTTCATTACCCTCCACAAAGACCAAATGAAATATGGAAGTGTTATCTATGAATTAGCATTAGAATTTTTTGAGCTCCTCCAAAATTATCAAGCTAAGGGAGCTAGATCTCGATATAATAAGAATTGTCCAATATATTTCCTTGTAATTGAAGCTACGTATGCAGATATAAATGGCTTTTATGACCGAGATCATTAAGCATTGTTTTCCTGGTTAGCATGATCTCAATGTTTATTTTGTCTACAAAAATTCCATACAGGATCGGCTATTTGTCTCTGGTAGAAAAGTGTACTTGCTTGCTTTTCATCTGCACAGGGTGTTCCAATGAGCATCGGACAGGGGCTTATTTTTGATCTTTCCTGATTTTTTGAAAAAAAAAAATCTCAAATTGTAATTCGGCAAAAAGACAGACACACAGACGAGGTAACATTTACAACATCAGACTTATTGTATCTCGAACAGCCCTTAAAGCTGGTGGGCGAAAAAAAAAAAATAAGTATACCTCGTAAACTGGTGAAATTATTCCACTGATACCTCTGCTGGACTTAGTGCTTTGTGTACTCTTGCTAGAGGTGCATCTGCAGTAGCAAAAACTGTTGTAGAAGCACGAAATGCACGGCAATATTCATCATTGAGCTATAGAAAACCCAAGAAAATTTCAAACCAACAAATTTCAAGGAAGAAGTTCGATTCACCTTGGGAGTGGTGTGTTAAATATAATATGTAGGTAATAGAATTTTAGGTCCAATATTTTATAACTGCTCACCAAATCGAAAGCGATATCTTGGATTCTTTCGAAACTTAATCTGATGGCAACAAGATGGATCTCCTCGGCATGCCTTGCATGATGTCGTTCAATTTTTAAACCAAAACCATACTGAGAAAAGACTGAACGTCATGCAAACATTTTTCAAATCAAAATATGCCTTATTGTTTAAAGTTAGCAATTTTGATAACAAACCTTCCAAATACAATATAATTAAAATTGAAATCATCAACAAAGTAGGCACGTAAAAATAAAGAGAATAGACAGGAATAAAAACAACTAGATAAAATTTAAGATTAAGAGCAAGAAAGCAAGATCGAAAGACTGCTCAACATTAAAATTAAAAACAAACTTAAAATTGAAACTTAAAATTATTAACCATTAAACAGAGGAGATGTGAAGTATTCCTCCACAGAGTGAAAAGTCTTAGCCAAAAGTAATTTTTGACTTGTCTCTTGAAACATCTACTCTCCTTTATTGCTCTTACGCTATGAGGTAGGTGATTAAACATTTTTTTACTCTTATAGTGGATAGATTTTTGAGTTAGCGAGGATCTGGGAATTGGTAGATCAATTAAATGTTAACTTCTGGTATTAACTAAGGAGGGAGCATGAATATTAGAGGTGTACTTCTTCTGCATGAGACACACCGATTCCAAAATCAAGATACAAGGCAAGGTTAAAATACGTCTGCCTATAAAGAATGGTCTGCAAGAGTTCCGTGGACTAAGACCACATAACGACCTTATAGCTTCTGGAAAACAAATATGATGTTGAACAATGTTAATGAGCAAGAATCCCAGAATCAAATGCCATAACTAAGATGTGACTCGATTAAAGAAAAATACACCCGTCTAGCAACCGATTCACCCAGCTCAGCCTTGACAGTTCTAATAGCAAAGAATGCTGATGATATTTTTTACATAAATGCTCAGTGTGTTTGTAAACCTGAGCTGATCATCAACAATCAGGCCAAGATATTTGGTCTTCATGCTTCTGCCTATAATAGTATCATCCAGAAAAACATTACCAAAATTACACTTAAAATTCATGATGGATGTCTTTTGAATATTAAATGACAGCCGATTGGAGTCACACCACATTTTGATTCTTGCTTAGTCATCGTTCACCATAGCAGTCAACATGACATTCTCTTTATGATGCCAAACTATTGTGGTATCATCAGCAAAGGAAGTGCATAGACCACTCTTCACAACTGCAGGAAGATCATTAACATAAAGTGAAAACAATTGCCCCAAAACAGACCCTTGCCGAACGCCAGCGCTAACACTTAAGCTACCGGAAACCCTATCCCGAGAGACAACACTCTGACTTCTCTGTGACAAATAAGAACCAAACCACCTCAGTTCAACACTCCTAAAACCAGAGTTCGAGCTTGCGCAGCAGTATCTCGTGAATGACGCAATCAAAAGCTTAGTCACAAAACACCGCTTGCAGCCTTCTAACCATCATTAAGTCTGAGGTACACCTGCTCCAGGACATTGAAAATCGCATCACTCGTATTTTTCGAAAATTGGAATCCAAACTGATAAGATAATAGCCCATTCTGCTCCAGGAAAACCACAATCCGCTCCTTAATGAGCTTTTCAACTATCCTGCTTAGCGTAGGCAGCAATGATATTGGTCGGTAGTTAGAGGGTAACTCTTTCTCT